GGGAAGCTCAGGGTATAAAATGAAACAAGTTGGTGTTGAAGACAGAGTGTGTAGTAAGGAGGATCCTAGGGATGTGTGTATGTCTCTTGGAACTAAAGCCCTGGGAACAGGGCCAACTGCAGTGGCATTCAGTCAAACTGCCTCTCGTTCCCTTGTGGAAACTGATGTCTGAGAGACATCCTGTAGAAGGAAAGTGCAGAGAACCCAGGCTCTGGGCCTCAGTCAGTGTGGTGGCATTATTCAAGATCGTGATGTAGTTCATTATTTCTGTGCAAAGACCACCCACGTTCAATGTTCTGAGTCCAAGAAGGAGACCCATCTAGTATAAATTTAATTTATTCTTGCCTAAATTGATTATTAGTAATCAACTTAGATCATATTTAAATTAACCAATTACATAATTTAGAGGGAAAATACACCAGTTAGGTCTTCTTCATCTTTCCTTCACTGATTATTCATATTTTCCTGTTGTCTCTGGAATCTTTAATCCTTGCACATATACACATGTAATTAAACCAATTTGGTTCTGTAAGGTATTATAACTCTCGTTAATGATTTTTATACATGCTTTTGTGTTTTCTATTGATTGACTTAATTTAAATACGTATATGGCTTTCCATTGTTAATAATCTCTATTTTATAGCTTTTGTCTGTTTAATTTTACCTTATGTTTGCATACTACATTTTAAAGTTATTTGCCCCTAGAAAGGTATTGGGTATTCTCTGTTCTTTCAGTGTTGTAAATAACATGCCTATAAAGAGCTGAGTTAAGGTTTTTCATTATTTTACTTTGAATTTTTTCCTTAGCATAAATTCTTTGATTTTTGTGACCACATTTACTTTACAGCACTTTGGAGAACTTTTGCTTTCTTTAGAAACATTTCTAAATTTCTAAATTTCTTTAGAAACATTGTTCAAATTGACAGAACCATCAGCAATACGAAACCATATGTTAAACTATAACCTATCCAGGACTGAAGAGGTTTATTTATGTTTATTTTGAACCAATTAAATAAGTGCATTACGTAATTTAAGTTTGTATGTATTTGTATTTCCAAATCAATGAGATGCTTTTCTACTTTGGTGATCTCTTAACAGCTTAGTTTGGGGGCACCTGGGTGGTTCAGTTGGTTAAGTATCCAACTTTGGCTCAGGTGATGACCTCGCGGTTTGTGAGTTCGAGCCCCGCGTCGGGCTCTGTGCTAACAGCTCAGAGCCTGGAGCCTGCTTCAGATTTTGTGTCTCCCTCTCTCTCTGCCCCTTCCCTGCTCGTACTCTGTCTCTCTCTCAATAAATAATGTATACATATAAATATATGTATGGACATATACATACATATACATCTATTTTTAAAAAGCTTACTTTTGATTATTCTTATGGATTTGTATAAATGAACAGATTAAAATTGAGAGCACTAAACTTCCTTAGAAGTAAAGTCATATAACTAGAATATATTGCTTCTAGTTCTTGCTCTCTAGGTGAGACCTTGGGTAAGTCATTTAGTGTCTGAGTACTGGTATCATCATTTATGAAAGACAGATATTAACTTCTTCCCTATCTCCAAAGAGAAGGAATGAACACTTGTGATATTTTATACATTATGAAATTTTATACTGATATAAGGGTTTAATCCATTAATAACATTATTATCATCGCTTTTCCCCTTAGCATAATCTGATACAATTTAGAAATCCTCTATGTTGGGGGTAATTTCATAGCTGCAGTTGCTATGGAAATACTGAAATAAATAAATGTCATAGAAAGAATGGTGAGGACATATATGAGA